AGTTGACTTTGTTGACTTTTCAGAGTTTTAATCAAAATCAAATAGCATTTTCGAAGAAATTATATTATTTTATCTTCCAGTACGGTAAACTTATCGGATTTTTAAAAACGCGTTAAAATCAAGACTGGCGTCCAACCCCAGGCCTTGGCGCCTGGAACCAGGCTTGGCGCCAGGCGCTAGCCACTGGTGCCTAGCGCCAGCTAGCCAGGGTTGGCGCCAACCTTGTTTCCTGAGCGTCAGACTCTGTTTTGTTAAATTATCTTTTTTGGCTGATTTTCTCTATAAATATCGTATCAAAAACTCCGTTTTCATTCATCATCTACATCTATCATTCACCAATTCTCCTCAATAATTAATTCTTTAGCATTCTTTAATTCATTCAATTCTTTCTTTCTTTTTCATACAAAATTCCGCATTCACAAGATCTAGAAACACCTAGCCATATTCTAAGTTGCCTTCGTCCTAGACGTGAAAGGTTTAATTTCTAAGGGTTTGGTCCCAAATCTCTCTTTCAATCATTTAATTTAATTGCTTTGATTATTATTTTCCTTGAAGTTACTAACGTGTGTATTTTGTTATTAGAAAGAGGTACGAGGCATCAAAGTAAGTACTTTATTGATTTATTGATGTTATGATGTAGACATCATGTTTATATTGTTGTTATGATGTTCCTAGTATCATGTCTAGGTTATTTTTAATATTAAATATGATTGTTATGATGCTTCCTATGTTCTTCCTAATATTAATTCATGTTAGTATCATGTTAGGGTTAAAGATTTGATTTTTATTGCTTACTGACATGCTAGGGTTTGTTATTAATCTTGTTAGTATCATGCCTAGGATCTTGCTATTATTATTATGCTTTAATTTTAATATGAACATGAATATGATTATAATTGTTATAATTTATTATTATTTTGACGATGATTATTTTATAATTGTTATGATTATTTATTATGTTGCTTGATTATTTATTCTTTATTGCTTGATCACCTTTTTATGCTTGTTTAAAGGGAATTTGTACTTGTAATTATGTTTAATAAGATAATTAACAATCTTGTTAGGTTAACTTTGATTATATTTCAAGTGATCGCCAATAATAGATTTATTTGTGCATTAAATTCAACCAACATAGATAAACTGGTTTTGGGTTAACATATTGATTGCATGTTAATCAGAAAGCGCACATGAATACGAGCAAAATAAAGTAGAGGCCTATTATTAGGGCAATTTCAATCTCTTTTAGGTTGGATTTGTACCTTCATCCCCGAACCCTTATTTGGTTCATGACCTTATGGAGTTGACGATCTCTTGGATCGTTAAGGGGTGTAACCTTTACCTCGTGAACGGTTTATAAGTTCCTTAAAAACTTGTTGGCGACTCTTTTTCTCTATCTTCTTCCCTTTTGGACGCCACTGTACTTTAGTGTATGATCACAGTGGGGTTTAAGCTAGTGGGATTTTAAAGGCTTGAAATTATCCCCTACACCTAACAACTAATTCTTCTCTTCCATTGTACTTGTAGCTTTGTCATAGGGTATAATTGAGCGCAATCAGGTTGATCAAACGTGTTCTGAGTCTGCTGGTATGTTATTATATTAAGATTCATTGTTATTGTATTTTGTATTACGGGTAAAGTGTGATATTGGTTGTTGCTAGTTGCTAGCTTTGTTCTGCAATTGTATGCTATTACATAGAAATCTTTTTTAAGGCATGATAATTATAGTATACTGAATATCTTTGTCCCATGTGTTGATCAATATTTCTTATGTTTTCAGAGACATATTTATTAGCATACGAAAAAACTATACTAATTAGAGTTGATTAAGGCTGTGATATTGATGGAGAATATGGTATTAGTAATATGAGTTGGAATTTTAACATGATGCATGACCAGTATACCTTAGTTTATTGACCTTACTCAACTAAATACCTTAGAGGTAGGAAGAGTATTTTTGCTGTGCTTACTAGGTGCTGAAAAATCATCATAAACAAATCCCTATGGTTTATTATGTTACACAGGTTAAGGCGTCAATGACTGCAACAATTGCCATTCCTCTTCAGCCATTGCTGGAATAGAATACTGATTGCATAGGCCTTGAAAAATCGGTTTATGTGATTGATGATTTTACCTCAAACAAGGTTTCTGTTAGGATTAAGTTGAAAAATGGTCAGCAGACCTGTGTTTTCAATGGTGGGGGAGCAGGGAGCTTGAGGAAAGCATCTGAAAAGGCTGCAGAAAAGGCAATTCATGGCTTGATGGATTTTTATGATGTAACTGTTGATGATTTTACTGCTGATCGAATTCGAAATTACAGGAGATGTGCCACTTTATTCAGAATGAAGCACCGCTAGTTATGAGTTACAACTGGACATGGAACTGCGCCTGCCAATGAGTCTATTCCTGACTACGGATCTCACTTGCCTGTGTATACTGTTGCCATTGATTATAAAGCATACTTAAAAATCATGTTGGCACGCACCGGTGCTGCTATGACTCCAATTGTAACTGTTGAATTCAGTGGTGAGTAGTACTTTGCTTGGACTGTGGTAACTTTCTACCCAAGTGAAGATTTACCTGAATGCATATTTGGTGATGTACGTCCTGAACGAGGCTGCAGAGCAGAGTGTGGCTAAGAAAGTGACATATTTGCTGTTTTACAACTACAATTTCAATATAGTTGATGCAAATTTTGGTCGCCATTCTATAAAGTGTGCCCTTTCCATTCTTGAGAAAGAGAAGACATTGACTGATGAGGTGTGCAAACAACAAACTGGAGTTTAGGGTGAAGTGTTATCTGTTGTTACTGAGGATCTGTGTGTCACTCCTGATGGTAAAGAAGCAAGTATGTATCCCTGCTCAAATTGTTGTTCCACGCCCTCCTAAGAAGCGTGTGTCACGACCATCATTTGGAGCTCCTTCCACTTTTGCTACTGGGTCTGGAAAGGCTATGCAGAGTATTCTTGGGGAGCTTGAGACTGTTTTTAAGCGTAGGAAAATTGGGTAGATGGCTGGATGTTGAATAGCTAGGCACTTTTTGGGCATGCAGTGTGGTTTTAGCTTACTCAATAATCTCTGCTTGGTTATGGAGATTTATTTTGACCTTAGCTTTGGATGGCGTCTATCTCATGCGTTTTGGCTAGTTGTTGATGCTCACTGGTGATCAATGAAGAATATTAGCTGCACCAATGTATTTCTATTAGGACTTTTTAATTTCCTAGCAAAAATGGAACTACTTTGTGCTATAGTATGTAATTAAATATTATGAGTATGTGTGCTGCAAATCTATGCTTAGATTTTGCAGTATGAATATTCTAATGTAATACTAAACTCTGCCTTTTGTAATGCCATTGTGATTGGAATGACAACATCTTGCCATTAAATTAAAATCAATGAATATGTTTCTTTATTTTACCGAGTATAAAAGGTGTCATCTTACATTTTGCTTCTGTATTAGCGTGCTAAAACTATAACTACAATCCTTTGGGCTGTGAGCGTTTACAGGGTTTCATCAGATAATGCGTACTATACTGCAACAAAGGCGTGGGCTATACTACATGTCAAAGAGAATGAATTGATAGATGCTTTCATGCCAAGTCTAAAACATGGGTTCTAATTTGTACACTTGCCTTTTAGTAATCAATTTATGGATACATTCAATGCCTTTATATGCATGTGTTAGTTTACAATTAGCACGCATACTCATAATATAGATAGGATGATTATATAACTTTAGTTTGTAATGCCAAATTACTTGTTGCAGAATCGAAGACTAGGTCATGCAAATCAGTGAAGCGTAAAGCTAAGGATGCAGAATCTCCTATTATTGCAAAGGCATCTGTGATTGTGGTGCAATACCTGCCAAGTTTGCCTGCAGTAACCACACGTAAATCAAAACGTGCTGAAGCTTATACTGATGTTGGTACACGTTCTGTTAGACCAAGTTCTGCACAGTATAACACCAAGCGTTTAAAGGGTAGAAGCTCGAATTAATTTGAGTGACCTTGATTGTGCCACAACTAGCATTCCTAGGACTTCAAAAGATCCTTAAACACGTGGCAAAAGAACAAAATAGAAAAATGAAGGTATTCACACAATTTTTACTTCCCTTTAACTGCCATGATTAGTTTCAATGATTAGTTTCAATTACTGTTCATATATTTTACTTATGTATCAGTTGAAGTTGTTGCCTTGATATGTGATAGAGAAGTTCCCACTGAAGCTCTTAAGCTACCTGCTCCTACTTTTTGTTCCAAGTGTTATGCAAAAAGGTTTGCCTATGAGCCACTGTTCTTTTGTTGTCGGAATGGTGGTGTCCAGCTGGCTGAAAATCCATGGCCACCACAGTTGATTTGGCTTTTTACTTCTAAGGATAAATTAAGTGATCATTTTTGAGAATATTGTCGCATGTATAATAATCTGTTTGCATTTACTTCCTTGGGGGGATCCGTTAAAGCTGATACTAAGAAAGGAATATATGTATTCAAGCTGCACGGTCAGATATATCATAATCTTCCTGACTTATTACCTCATGATACACGCCCGAAGTATCTGCAGATGTATTTTTATGATGCAGAGCACGAGATCAATAATCGAACATCTACTTTTCCACAAGTGCAGCAAGAAATAGTTCAGCTCCTTATGCTCAATTTTTCCGTTCACTAAGGGATATTCCTGTTGTCGAAAGCATTGAAATTCATTTGAACCGGAATCCAGTTCTTGACCAAAGAGTCTACAATGCACCAACTGCAAATGAGGTGGCTGTGATATCGTTAGAAGAAACATCGTCTAGTGAATATAGCACTCCTCATATTGTTGCTTGAGGTCGAAAGGAGACAGATAAACCTCATCGAATTAAGCATTATTATGGGTGCTATGATCCTCTTCAATATCCCTTGTTGTATCCACATGGAGACAGTGGATGGCACGAGGGTCTAGAAAAAATAAATAGAACTACCATTAGCAAACAGTTGTAGGAAGAAGTTTGCTCTCTAGAGTCAATGAACAGTGTGGAGGATTTACTGGCTGAGGAAGAAGCAAGTGAGTCATTATTTTCTATTTTTTGTACTTCTTTTTGGCTTAATCAGTGTTTATTTACTTATGTTACTATATGAAGTATAAATACTCTTTGCAGCCAGCTAATGAGTTTTCCATTAGGAATATCTATGTCTTATGCTATACTATCTTTTTATATAACTCTCATTCATGGGATTATTAGTTAACAAGCATATTTTGTTGTGATTGTTAATTTTATATTTTATATATATAATACAGATGTATCTAATGGAAAGCGGGAAAAAGTGCAGAAGATTTCTTGTAAAGAGTATTATGCATATAAGTGGCAAATAAGACAAGGAAACTATTTGCTGCGTGCTGCATGATTGCTACAACAATATATAGTTGACATGTATGTAAAGCTAGAGAACACAAGACTGGATTTTTTTTGTTAAAATCAGGCTGCCATTCGTGCTGATCTTTATTAGGGAATTCTTGATTGTTTTGAAAGCGGAGAAAACAATTATGCAAATGTGGGTCATTATGTCATATTACCCCCTTCTTTTTTAGGTGGTCCTAGAGATTTACGGAGTAGATACTTGAACGCAATAACTTTGGTGCAGCGGTTTGGAAAACCAGATTTGTTTATAACTATTACATGCAATCCTAATTGGCCAGAGATCAAACAAGAACTTGCTCCTGCAGAGCTTGCCCAAAATAGGCCAGATTTAATTGCAAGGATTTTCCATGCAAATTTAATTGCTCTTAAGAAGCAAATCATGGAGGAGAAATTTTTTGGAGAGGTTGCTGCATTGATATATGTTGTTGAGTTTCAAAAACGTGGCCTTCCTCATGCTCATATTTTATTAATATTGGCTCCCGGTTATAAGATTAAAGATGCAGCAGCTTTTGATAAGTTTGTAACTGCAGAGATCCCCTCAACACAAAATCCTCACTTAAGGCAAGATGTGTTGTCTCACATGATGCATGGCCCTTGTGGGAAGGCAAATCCTGAATGCTCGTGTATGAAACACAAAGGCCGATTGGGTGTTTGTAAGTATGGATATCCAAAACCATATGTAGCTGAGACAATTAGCCATGAGGATGGGTATCCTATGTATAGAAGACGCGATACTGGGGAAACAGTAATGATTCAAAGGAAGCCTATGGATAACAGGTGGGTCATTCCATATAATCCGCATTTGTTAGCACTTTATGATTGTCACGTGAATGTTGAAGTGTCTTCTACAATTCGGGCTGTAAAATATCTTTACAAGTATGTCTACAAGGGGCATGATCGTATTTCTTTTAATGTTTCTTCTGTGGATAATCCAAAACCCAGAGATGAAATAGGGAAGTTCCAATCAGGGCGTTGGGTTTCTCCTTGTGAAGCTGCATGGCGTCTGTTCAGTGTTGGACTCTTTGAAATGATACCACCAGTATTGCCTCTTCAAATCCATCTTCCTAATTTGCACACTGTTCAATTTAGGCCAGGTGAAAGTCTAGAATCTGTTGTGAACGACAGCAAAAGGCAAAAAACTGCTCTGACAGAGTTCTATGCAATGAATGCTGCAAATCCAGATGGTCCGCAATATTTGTATTCAGAATTCTCAGAGCATTTTGTTTGGACAGCATCTGCAAAGACTTGGACTAAGCGTGAGACTAAAAAAAAGGTTATTGGTAGGATGGCCTTTGTATCCCCATCTGAAGGTGAACGCTATTATCTGCGCCTTTTGCTTGCAAATGTTCGTGGACCTAAGTCTTTTCAAGATCTAAGGACTGTTAATGGCTACATTCATGCAACTTACCAAGAAGTTGCTGTCAAGCTTGGTCTTGTAGTTGAAGATGATGCTGCGGACTAATGTATGTCAGAGGCTTCTGAAACTCATATGTCTAGGGCTTTAAGACGTCTATTTGCAACTATACTCATTTTTTGCAATCCTTGCAAAAATTCTACCCTCATCTTTTTGAAGATTTTGCAAGTAATCTTTCAAACCATGCTGATAAGGTTCTATAGTTAACAATTCGTTATGTGGAGCAGTTTTTAGAGGAAATGGGAAAAACTTTGGATGAATTTGGGCTGGATCGTCTAATCCATGAGACAAATGATGAAATCAGAAGGACTCGGGATATTGTTGATGCCTTAGATGCACCAATACCTGATGTGTACAAGCAAGCATGCTTAAGCCTCAATCCAAAACAACAAGATGCTTTTGACTCCATTATGGAACATGTTACGACAGGACAACCAGGTGCATTTTTTGTTGACGGGCCTGGGGGAACAGGAAAAACTTACCTATATTGTGCGCTTTATGCAGCCACAAGGGCAATGGGTAAAATTGTGCTCCCTACTGCTACATCAGGCATAACAGAATCCAATATAGTCATTGGAAGAACAACACATTCCCGATTTAAGATTCCAATCGATCTTGCTGTTTCAACCTCTTGTTCTGTTCCTAAACAAATTAGCCTAGCTGCTTTGCTAAAAGAAACATGTTTAATAATTTGGGATGAAGCTTCAATGGCAAAAAAGGAGAATATTGAAGCTGCGGATATTCTTTTGCGTGATTTGTGTTCACCATCTTTACCTTTTGGTGGGAAAGTCATTGTTTTCGGAGGAGATTTTAGGCAAGTATTGCCTGTCGTGCCCAGGAAGTCACAAAGTGAAGCCATGGAAGCAAGTTTAGTTTCTTCCTCTCTATGGAACCAGTTTAAGAGATTCAGGCTCACTGACAATATGAGGGAAAGGACAGATAGCCAATTTGCTGATTTTTTGCTTGCCATGGGCAATGGTCAGCTGCAGACTGCAGAAATTGAACAGATTCAGGTGCCTGGGCATATAATAGTGCCCTATGATGAATCTAATGTTGCTGTAGATAGTCTTACTGATTTTGTTTTCCTAGAGATAAAAATGACAGCCTCTAATGAAGGCATGTTTGTTGATAGAGCAATCTTGACTCCTCTCAATGCTGCTGTAGATGACATAAACTCTACCCTAATTGATGAGTTCCCTGGAGAATCTGTTTGTTATAAAAGCTATGATTTATTGCTTGATGATACAGGAAATGTTTATCCAACGGAGTTCTTAAATACTCTTTCTCCTGGCGGTATGAGTCCACATGAATTAGTGCTAAAGGAAAATTGTCCTGTTATCTTACTAAGAAACCTTGCTCCTGCATCAGGTCTTTGCAATGTCACTCGTATGCTATGTAAGAATTTTTACCCTAATATAATTGAGTGTGCCATAATAACTGGCCATCATGCAGGAGAGCATGTTTTCATCCCACGAATAAATCTGCGGCCATCTGAGACACTTCACTATCCATTCAAGTTTCAAAGAAAACAGTTTCCTATTAAGCTTAGCTTTACTATGACCATCAATAAGGCTCAAGGACAAACTCTATCACAGGTTGGCCTCTATCTAAACACCCCTTGTTTCTCACATGGGCAACTATACGTAGGTCTATCCAGGGCTCAAACATCGGCTCAAATTAAAGTTTTATCTAAGCCTACAACAGATCAGGTTTCAACAACAACGGTCAGAAATGTTGTATCCTTCAGCATTCTTGAAAAGGCAGACATCATCTAGGAACAAGCTGCATATAGGCATGTTATACACTCACTTCTTCCTTCACACTTGTGTAACCATGTTCGTTAATATTCAAATTACAGATCTAATGACCATATTTTTTTGTTTTAGTGGCAGGTTCCAGAAGATTTTGAAATTTGACTTGGATATTTACAAGCTAAAATTTGCCTACAATATAATGAATACTCTGCAATTAACCTATGGTTTGAGAAATACTCAAATCAAAGCTTAGCCTTTGGGTATTTTGAAGCTTCTGAATTTTGGTTTTCATAGTGTGGAAGATTCTGAATATTGGCTTGGATTTATTTCTGCAAATACAGCAAAATTCTTCCTAAATATAACTTATACATGTTGGTAAGCGTGTGGCTATGAATGCTATTACTATTTATAGACTAAACTATATTATTTCCTCAATGAATTTAACATATTTTCAAATTACACTGTTTGCAGCTAGAGATGCAATGAATATTGTGCTTATCACACATTCCTTAAGTGAAATTCAACACAAGATGGTTACCAAGCATGAGTTGGCAACAATGGACAAATTACAAAGCCTTAATGACTATCATCTTTAAGACATGGCAATAGCAAAATGACTCAGTGATTAAAAGTCTGTTTGAAGCCAAACCATAAGCAATATTTCAAGAATAGCGCCGTATAAAAATGATTAATGATCAACTATCTGTTTCATTTTATTAGCAACTCAGCTATTATACTAAATAAAATTATGTATAACCTCTAATATCTAGGCATTTGTATAAACTAATTAATTTTCAAATTCTAAGCACTAGACATTTTATTAGCAGCACAGGACAACCCTTAACGTTTGCAGAATCCTTAAATTAAGTACAAGACTCATTAGCAAATGATTCGATGGAACAGAACATGTTTTTCTTTTGATATTATCCCCTCATTTTTGCTCATTCCTAAAATGCCACTTCATTTTGACAACACCATAAATGAAATAACTCAAATCTAAATTGGTCACTCATAAGTATCACAATGTGATTACTCCAAATTTATACATAATGAATTGATCACTCCTAGGTGAAAATGAAATAGAACATTCCAAATTTGATCACACTATCATATATCATAAACAACTAACAATCTAATATATGGAATACTAGAGGCTAAGAGAATACCCAAAATGTTATCATTTCATATATGGAATACATGTATTCAACACATTACAAAAGGTGTATTGCAAATAAAAGAGAAGCCATTACATTTTCTATTAACCACCCATCATGTACAAAATTAAGATTAAGCATAATCAACCTTAGATATCAGCATCATAAATTCTACCCAAATGATCAATGGAGTTCCTATCATTATCAAAGTCATAATCTGATTCCTCGGAAAGCTGTACCGGAGAATCAGGCTCATACCATCTCTTAATTCTCCTAGCTTTCTCCTTCCTCCTCTCTAAAATTTGCTTTTCCTTTGCTCTTTCCTTTCTCTTTCTTAGTTCTTCCTCCCTTTCTCTTACTCTTTCAACCATCTTCTCTCTTGCTTCTTCTTCTCTGAGCACTTGATCAAGATCATCCTTGTGACTCAGGAGCTCCTTCAACATTTGTTCCATTCCAATTCGCACTTGGTGAAGGTACAACACATACCATTCACATTCTTCCAGCAATTCCTTCCTCCTTGCTTTATCATTCTTCGTATCCTTCAACCTCATTTTAATGTCTGAGCAATTTTCTACCATTTTGTTATACCCTTGCGCTGATTTTCGCAATGTGAAAAGCATCTTAATCACATAAAAATGAAAATTCACTACCGCTCTGAGCCTACGATCATCTGCACTTTCTTGTCTACAATTAGATGAGGAACCTTTTGCCATTGAATCTATATTTAGGAATCAAAATAAAAACTTTAGTCTAAGAATTCTAGGGTTTATAAATTGTAATGAAGAGTGTCAGGAATTACAGAGAAAGAAGAGTTGAAACACGTCTAATCTGAAGAAAGCTCTTCAAATTCTACTTCAACTGTAGCAAAGCAGAGAATATGAATAGTTGTCATGCACCTTTGTATTTAGACTATAAGCTATGTATTACATGCATATTTAAATTATTAAATTAAAATAAAAAACACGTAAATAAAGTGCAACTTATTATCATACGATTAATGATTAATTTTTTTAAAATAAAAAAATCCAATGTTAAAAACGGTTAATTTTACATTTTAAAGAAATATCATACGAAAATTTATTCGTCTACAGAAAAAATCACACATAGTTTTGAGAAACAAGAATATACTTATCGATAAGCCTTACACAAAATATACATGTCCAAATTAAGATTAAGTGATTCATTTATAACTACAGTTGACACGAGCAGGACCAAAAAGCAGACATGTTATATTTAGGTTGAAATTTCCCAGTGAAAATTCACACACGTAACTCAATCATATAAATGCGCATTTATTTTGTTTATGATATTTAATTCGTTTAAACGAATTCGGCTTAAGAATTTTCAACTTGTTGTTTTGATCTAGGATTTTCAATACATTGATTTGGCTTAAGTAATTTTGACATGCTTATTCGACCTCACGATCTACATTGCTAGGATTAATTTCCAACGCGCTTAACATTCACAAGAATATAATTTCAAATCGACACAACAAGACCAATTTTATAGCCCTAATTTATATATTTATTTACTATTTAAAAGTGAAATTGATATTTCATAAACATACATAATATAAGCATACAAGAATCCTTAAAGTAGGGTAATTTTAATATTGTAAATGTACCTTCCTCACTTTGTATTAAATGCTTGTGCCACACAATCTAAGTTCATGTTTTTTATTCTTTCATATAAAATATAAGGCATTAAAATGTGGAAAAAAAAGATTGATTAGGATTCATTGATTCGTAAGCAAAAAAGTATGACAATAGTCATACAAACATAAATCATAAGGAAAAACAAAAATCCTCAAAATAGGGGATTTAAACATTGTAAAAATAACCTACTCATTTTTCATTTAATACTTGTAGTACACAATCTTAACCTATTATTGAATTGCTATATCAAAAAATATTAAACATTGTAAAAATAACCTAGTCATTTTGCATTTAATGCTTGTAGTACACAAGCTTAACCTATTATTGAATTGCTATATCAAAAAATATGAAAAATTAAAATTTAACATATTTTATAACGCTAGACAATGATTTAACATTGAATCATTAAACTGGACAACGATTTAACATATTTTATAATGCTAGACAATGATTACAATTAATCTTAATCTCTTACTCATACCACCGAATGCTTGTAGTACACAATCTTAACCTATTATTGTATTCCTATATCAAAAAATATAGCATTATATGTACCATGAATATGAAACATTGAAATTTAACATGTTTTATAATGCTAGACAATGATTTAAAATTGAATCATTAAAATGATTAGAATTAATCTTAACCTCTTACTCATGTAAACTAGCACTAAAATAAATCCATCACAATAGCCATGCATAAAGATATAGAAAAACAAATATCCTTAAAATAGGGGATTCTAACATTGTAGATTTATGTACTCACTTTGCATTAAATGCTTATACTATACAATCTTACCACATTTTTGACCTAAAAGCACTTATAATATTGTATATATCATAGATGATCAACATATAGAATTTAACTTGTATTATATTATCTAATTTAATTTTAAATACCTCAATTCCAACTTCATATATTATCTAATATCTTTTATAACCTCGAATTTAATTTCAAATACCTCAATTACTACTTCATATATTATCTAATTCACTTTTGTAAATTTAAAAAGGGGTATAGATTACATAAAGGAACAACACATCATAAACCATGAAAATTGAACAACAATCTATGCATTATCTTAATATGTATAATTTTATCTCAATTTTAGACCTTAGGATAAAATGATAATTTCTTTTTTTTTTTTACAAAAAAAAGAATTCTCATAATGGGAATTTGGAGAAAGTATACTCTACAATAAAAATAGTACATTCTTATGAGTCTATACAAAATAAATTTCATCATTTGCATTTAATGCTTATCATAATAAATTAGAAAGTGAAATAGGAAACTAAAATTTACACACTGATGATGAATCTATAATTTAAAGTATAAATACATCTGTAGACACCCATTTGTGTCTCCCCAAAACCAAAGCCAGTGATGAGTACCTTTCACGTCGAATCATAATCGAATGAAACGAAAGTGTGGAAGGACTAGTGTTGCGGAAAGTTTTTATTTCTTTTCTTTTCTCTCTGTTTTTGAAAACTTTATTTTGAGAAAACAGCCAATCCAGTTTGTTTGGTCCATGATATGGGTCCAATAGTAGTGTGGTTGGATGGGGCTTGCAAAGACCTTTCCAACGATATATTATAAGCCCAATTTCGATGAATATTGAGGAAGTTATGGCCAATTTACTAAACTGGGCCCGGTTTGAGCTTTATGTACGGCCCAATGATCTAGGGGAGGGCCTAATATGATTTATCATTTCTAATGCAATTAGGAATGGTTTTGGTCTTCTAGAATCTTCTAGAATGTTCTTTTCATTCCCAATTCAATTAGCATTGATAAGTTGACTTTGTTGACTTTTCAGAATTTTAATCAAAATCAAATAGCATTTTCGAAGAAATTATATTATTTTATCTTTCAGTACGGTAAACTTATCGGATTTTCAAAAACGCGTTAGAATCAAGACTGGCGCCCAACCCCAGGCCTTGGCGCCTGGAACTAGGCTTGGCGCCAGCTAGCCAGGGTTGGCGCCAACCTTGTTTCCTGAGCGTCAGACTCTGTTTTGTTAAATTATCTTTTTTGGCTGATTTTCTCTATAAATATCGTATCAAAAACTCTGTTTTCATTCATCATCTACATCTATCATTCACCAATTCTTCTTAATAATTAATTCTTTAGCATTCTTTAATTCATTCAATTCTTTCTTTCTTTTTCATACAAAATTCCGCATTTACAAGATCTAGAAACACCTAGCCATATTCTA